ATTTAATTTACGATACGCGGTGACACGTGGCCCCCTGTCACCGTCACGACTATTACATGACATCCTGTTATCGTCCACAGTCTTTTTATAGCAGCAGCTTTCCACATACTACCAGGAAAGTTCATATTCATATTTATTGAAGAATGAATTTAATCATCGATTTGTAGTGCACTAATTTTTGGCATCGCGAAATAGAACTGCAACCACCCAAAGTGATAAACCCTCGTAGTTTGCACACGTAGCTTCTCGAAATCATGTCAATGCAGTGCTGTGGAATACTGGCAACGGATGCATCTTCTGATTTTGTGGTTATGAGCAAGAAAAAAAAGAAATAAATTTTTTTTAGCACAAATGCTGTGTTTCGACTGAACTGACATCCAGCCATCAGTCGTCATTCCCTGATGATGAGCAATACCAATTTGATCAAGGCGTTGCATCTGTGTTAAATATAATAATTAATACTTTTCTTTAATGCCACTAGCCTCAGAATTATAAATCTGAGCCGCCTGTTTCATATTTAAGTTAGTTTCTTGGAAAAAACTATTGCAACGAATCTCTGGACCATTGCAACGATTGCACGGATTGAACCGTTGCAACGAAAAAACCATTGATCATTGACCATTGACCAAAACCAAAAACCAAAACCATTGACCACTGACCAAAACCAAAAACAATTGACCATTGCAACGATTGGACGGATTGAACCATTGCAACGAAAAAGCCATTGCAACGAATCTCTGAATTAATTGAAGCGCCCCTGTTATACAGAATTTATTACTCTAGTAATAAGAAGGAATATCGTTTGACTGCTTACTACGTAGTTAATTGGTCACTGAAGAACCGTCTTTGTTTGAAATCAAACTTGCGGACATAAACATCGATCAGACTCAAACGTGAGTCTTTTGTGGTAAGTGACAATACAGCTGGCACAAAATCAATATTTAGGTTAAGGGGCGGATTTCATCCTTGATTTCACTAACATGATATCGAGTACAGGTCACACTAATGGTTACTTGGTCTGCGAACAAATCAGCGGATGCCTCAATTTCAAATAAAGCGTAAAAACAATGAATGCTGCTGTAAGGTCCACTATTTAATCGATAAGAGTTTTCCATTTCTTTCGACCTGCTTAGCAGCAGACAATATCCTTATTCTGTTAGTAAATGCAAAAACAATATTTTGGAATATGCTTAATGGCAATGAGCATATTTTTTTCACAGAAAGCCGTCATATCAGCAAAAGTTCCTTAACTTCTTGTTGAATAAATCGTTAGGTTTTAAACCAACTGTGCAAATTCACAGTTCTTCATCAAAACAATTTTTAGAGAGTTTACCCGCCTTCATTACTTGAGGAGAAGGTTATTTAAGGATAAGTTTTGGTGTTTAAGCGATTTCCCTGGTTTGCTTGCGCAAATAAGCAGTGCATAGGTGGTTAATTTCTAATTTCTAAGTTTACGAGGTATGCACTGAAATATAGGCAAGTACCAGTGAGGAAACTAAATCGCGAAGGGCGTGCGTCTGCTGAAGTCAGGAACTTAATTCAGAATTATGGGATCCTCTCCATGAGCAGAGGATCCATCACTGGTTCGGCCTACGGTTATCTTCTGCAATAACTCGACCATGAACCGTTCTACCTGTCAGGTCAGAGTAATTCACAATAGCATCACGCTCGCAGTTTCAAGGAGGTTATAGATTTGAATCCTAGTGAGGGAAATTCAACTTATAAATTTTCGATGTAGATGCGTGAATAATACTAAGTGGGAAAGAAGCAAAGGACCATAGTGGCCGTTTAGTTGTAAGTTTTGC